AAAAAGATTCTTTTTTTGACTTGTCAGTTTGGTAATTTCTGGAAGTTGCTGTAGGCCTCGGGAGGATTTTCGCACTGACACTTCATGGTTGTGCGCAGTTGCTGTTCCAGCCGGCGTTGGGGATGGGTCATACTTATCTTTCACCTGCCTAAAAGGGAGGGCATGAGCCATGCAGAGGCGGGTGTCCAGGCTGGATCCGGCTCGGAAGCTCCAGCCTGAGGGGACAGCAGTTTCTGGCATTTTTCTGCTCTGCCTTCAGCTCCCAGAGTGCCCGACTGCAGGGAGAGATCCCCAGCTATTGTGCCTCGGACAATTAGCGGTGCCTAATGGGGCTGTAGGAGAGGTTAAACTCTTCTAATTGTTACTTAAAATCAGTAGGATTCCCCCATGGAATAAACAGCAATTAGAAGGATTAGAAGGGTAAGCAGAAGTAGTGACCTTTTTTCCTTGTCTTGCCTCATATTATTTTGCTTGTTGGACATTTTTTATTATTTAAGCTTTTTTAAGTGACAAAAGAAGAAGAAAAAATTAACTTTCCCTATATAACTTCGCAGGCTGACAGTGCCTTTCAGTGACGAGGGTGGGGAAGAGGACTTGCGGTGAATTCCTGTCCCTATTAAAGCTGATAAATTGAATTTGTCGGCTGCTTTACAGATGTTTCCTTGTGACCAAAAGTTACTCCGGAAGGCACGTTTGTGAATCATTTTTTGAGATAACACGTTACTTCTAAAAAATCCTTTCTGCTTATAAGTTGGTTGTGAGCATTTGCTTTTATTTTTTTTACCAACTTTTTTAATGATGTATGAAATCTAAAGAAAATAAGAAGGATTTAGGTGGCACTAATAAAAGCTATTTTGAGTAGCTAAAAGGTAATTAAGTTTGTTTAGCTAGCTTGTTTATACAGAGTATTCTCAAGTGACCATTCATCAGAGTAATTATTATTTCAGGCATAATTAATTAGTAAATAGCTTCACCAGAATAGTTTACTTTCAACTGACCTATTTAGCAGTTCAGCTGTGTACTCTATACGTGAATTAATGAGGAGTGCTCTTGTAATTCCTTTTGAAAAACTTGCTTATTAAGGTCCGTTTTTTTTTCCTAAATTGGTTATCCTTCTCTTTTGTTTTTGTTTTTTTTTTCTTCTAGGTGCTTTTAAGCCTTGTGAATATTTATTGGGAAGCTGGATGATTCGACTTACTGTCTGGTTTATTTTTTTGGTCGCTTTGTTCTTCAACCTGCTTGTCATGTTAACAATATTTGCATCCTGTACTCCATTGCCATCTTCCAAATTGTTTATAGGCCTGATTTCTGTCTCTAACTTATTTATGGGAGTCTATACTGGTATTTTAACTTTCTTGGATGCTGTCTCTTGGGGAAGATTTGCTGAATTTGGCATATGGTGGGAGACTGGCAGTGGTTGCAGAGTTGCCGGGTTTCTTGCAGTCTTTTCGTCAGAAAGTGCCATTTTTTTCCTGATGTTGGCAGCTGTTGAACGAAGCTTCTCTGCGAAGGAGATCATTAAAAAGGGGAAAAGCAATCGCCAAAAACAATTTCAGATTGCGGCCGTGTTTGCTTTCCTGTGCGCTGTGATAGCGGGATGCTTACCACTTTTTTATAAAGCGGAGTACTCGGCATCACCCCTTTGCTTGCCCTTCCCCACTGGAGAAACACCTTCGTTAGGTTTCACAGTGACTTTAGTGCTCCTGAATTCGTTAGCGTTTTTGCTAATGGCTATTATCTACACTAAACTGTATTGCAACTTGGAAAAAGAAGACCTCTCCGAAAACTCGCAGTCCAGCATGATTAAGCACGTCGCTTGGCTCATCTTCACGAACTGCATCTTTTTCTGCCCCGTCGCGTTTTTCTCATTTGCACCGTTGATCACTGCGATTTCTATCAGCCCTGAAATCATGAAGTCTGTTACTTTGATATTCTTCCCGTTACCTGCTTGCCTGAATCCAGTTCTGTACGTATTCTTCAACCCAAAGTTCAAGGAAGACTGGAAGTTGCTCAGGCGCCATCTGACCAGGAAGAACGGAGCGGTGGCAATTGCCGTCAACGCTCAGGGGGGCTGCGTGACGCAGGATTTTTACTACGACTGTGGCGTGTACACCCATTTGCAGGGGAACATCGCCGTGTGTGAATGCTGCGAATCGCTCCTTTTATCCAAGCCCGTGCCCTGTAAACATTTAATAAAATCCCACAGCTGCCCCGCGCTGGCAGTGGTGCCTTGCCAAAGGCCGGATGGCTACTGGTCGGACTGCGGCACCCAGTCAGCCCACTCCGACTACGCGGACGAGGACGACTCCTTCGTCTCGGACAGCTCAGACCAAGTGCAGGCCTGCGGCCGGGCGTGTTTCTACCAAAGCCGAGGATTCCCTTTGGTTCGTTACGCCTACAACATACCGAGAATTAAAGACTGAAAAGGGCTTTTTGCCATCAGCTGTTCTACCGAGGAGGTATAATGCTTCGTGGACTGTTGCCTGTTTTGACCTTTCGAGCAGGAAGCACTTTTGTAATCATCGTTTAAGTGTCATTTGTAAAGAAGGGAAGTGGGCAGTAACTTCTTGAGCCATACCTTTAAAAATAATTAAATAATAAATCAGTTGCCCTGACTGTAAATAATTTGTAAACCAAATTTGTTACCCGATATTTTTACTCTTTCCACACAATAGTGGTTTCTTTTATACAGTTTTTTACACGCTAATGGTGTGTTTCCACATTGTACTCCAGTTGTACTTTGCTTCTGCTGTTGGCAAGGTAAGTTCTGTTGACTTTTGCCTTTTTCTTTTTCTGCCAAAGCACAATATAAAGGACAGCTGTTTAATATTAAAGAAATTATTTTTAAATGTGACTTTTCTATAATTGAGCAAAAAACTCTCTTGCTAGCTTTGTATAGCGTATTCAGCATTGAATCTCAGGATGAATTTTACTGCAGGGCCAAAAAAGGGATTAATTCTCCCATACATAACTGTGACAGCAAGATAGGAATACCATGTTTGTTTTGTATTTCAAGCCAACGTTCAATTTAAAAAAAAAAAAAAAAAAAAGAAGGTGGTTTTGTTACAATAGAGCGCTTGTAATCCACAATATCTGTAGACTATGAAATAAGCATTATTATTATTATTAACAGCTGTCAGGAATGATGGGGTTGAACACATTTTTTTCCAGTGGTGATGCATTACTTCAGGTGAACCACAGCAATTTTCTTCAGTGGTATGCAGTCGGGTCACCCTGTTGGCAGGAATATCGAGGCATGGGGGGGCGGTGAGCAGTGCTGTCGGTGTACGCAGCTCACGTCTTTGCAGAAAGACTGGCTAATGCTCTGCAGCCTGTTGAATGTCGCAGCACCCCAATAATGGTTACGAACAGGCGAGATTTTAGCAGATGGAGGGAAAACGGAGCGCAATTTTGCAATAAAAGAAAAGTATTTTTGCCAATTATTTTACCGAGAGTGAAGTACACTGTGCAAAGTCGCTGATTTTCATGTAAATCGGTGCATTATTTTTAAACCATTGAAGTCCTGAGACCCAAACGATTCAAGTACCATCAGCGATCCATTTATCTATTTAATTTGAAATCTGATCGATATAAAGTTATGAATGCATGCTTAAGTAATTACCTATGTTTCTTGAACAATAGGCTAAATCAAGAGCAAATCCACTGCCATCCCAGTTACTCTGGAGACTTTCTCATTAAGATTTAAAGCTAGATTGCTGTTTTGAGACTTAAACTGTATATACTGTTCATACAATGAATTTTTATCTTTGTATTGTAAATTATTTGATAGAACACATGATGGGAAATGTGGCTTCAGTTCATTTTGTTAATTAAAGCTACCTCCTAAACAATAGTGGCTGCCAGTAGCAGAATGTTTAAAATGTGGTTTATATACTTTTTGCATTGTAAATAGACATGGTTGTATATTGTCACTGTAATAAAAACAGAATCCTTGTATATCAAAATCACGTAGTTTGTACAAAGTACAGGAGGATTATTTACTGTATGCTGTTAATTTTGTAAGCCAAAATATTCACATGTAAAAACAAAAGAGCAGAAAACCAACCCAGAGTTGTTAATTCTTATATTTACACTCATGAATATTACATCTGCCATTAGCATGGAATGTTACACTGAAAGCAAATAAAGGGTACATGAATACCGATTGCTATTTATCTCTGTTTTTCAAAAGTTAAGGCTGAAAATGGTGCGCATGTAAAATTATTGAGCATAAATAACGTGTTGTCTGCCCTCCAGTACATGTGGTGAGAGTTTCGGGAAAGAATTGCCAGCGAAGAAAGAAATTTGCCGATTTACAAGTGGATCTATGATCTTTGACTAATGCTGACTCTTGGCATGCAAAAGGTTAAAACCTTCAGAGAAGTGTTTGCCCTCTTATACAGCAATCTCTTGAATAAAGACATTATTACGTATTGTATCTGAGTTGAAATGTTTTTAGTATGGTTTGGAAAATCATACAGAATGATGGTTTTGGTTTCGATACTATTTCCGTGCTGAGAGCTGTGGGTTTGGTTTTTTTTAGCCATAGTTTTGTAAGAGTCCCAGTCTGTTCCACACTCCCTCTGTTGGCCAACCAGTCACAGGTAGCGAGAATACTTCTGATAAGAATACATCTCAAAAAGGACAAGAAATGTCAGCTGCCGTTTTGTAATCGGTAGGGAAGGAAATCCAACTATCAATTTCAATGTTCTTGAGTATGGATTTATTTCTTCTTCTGTTTTTACAAATGAGTCTTCACTGAAATGCTATTAAAATGATCAGATGTGATCCATTTGGAGTTGTAGTATATAATTTATACATTAATATATTTTTGAAGTTACCGTTTTGCTAACGGCTATTTTTTAATGCAGTCAGCCCCGTGTCTTCCAACACACGCAGGTTTTGTGTGCTGGTAGAAGTGAAGGAATACAGGCACCGGGTTCTAAAATCAACCCGTCGAGAAGCAGTGCTGCAAAACTTGCCTGTCTGAGCATCCCCACATGCCCAATGCCTATGGACGATCACATAAGGAGAACCCGGAGAAAACCAGCCACTGGGTACTTCATGCCTCCTTTGTCGTGTCTTTGCTGGACGAGCTGATCCTGGTAGCAGGGCGTAATGTTCAGGTGTTCACAGCTGCAATAGGAAAGCCATCACTGAGAACTCACTCCCTCTCCTCCCCACTCCAAAAGCAGTATCAAATACGTGGGGACAACTTGCCTTAAAGCAGTGCTGTGTTAGCAAAGCGTGCAGTTTTTTGGTTACCTCTGTACAAGGGGTTTTCAGAGCCCTCACCCAGGCAGCCACCTCTGCAGCTAGGCAAAGCTTCCCAATTTCAGTTTTGATACTCAAAACAACTGCAACTTCCCAAGTTAGACTCTGCCGGGGTGTCCGCAGGAAATAAATCCTCTGATTCCCTGGAGTCTAAAACTCGCTGAAACTGTTCTTCCAGTGACAGTGTCACATACCTGGCTTCTAAACCCCTCTGAATAACTTGCACTGAGCTCCAACACAGGATTTAGAGCAGACAAAAAGAATTCGCTGTTGACTTTAATAAAGGAAAACTTAGGGCAAGGGGAAAATGGTTTTGTGTGTTTTGCTTCCTCCTCTTCTGCTGTTGTGAAGAAGCAGCTTTTCTGCAGGGGGACAGAGTCACAAATGAAATTGCAGAAGTTGTTGCTAAGGTTTTCCCTACCTTCTCCCCATTGAGAGTAATTTCTTATGGGCAGCTGTGAGGCTGCGCGGTGGCAGCATGCTGGTGAGATCTCTTCATTTGAAATGGAGCCTTTTTACTCTCTCAGAAAAATAATGCCTCCACTTAGCAACTCTTTGATCTAGATCACTTTTGCCTTTTGTCATTTCTTTCCTGTAGAATTTCCTGTGTTTAATCATAAAATTACTCAGAAATTTCAAAGTTATACAAAGATACTTTTCTCCAATAATTCTCTTGACCTTGATTACTATTTTTAAGCCTTCAGTTTTAATTTACAGGGTAATATTTTTAATTAAAAGCAAAATGCAGAGTTTGATTCATGTGTACTCTCAATTTAATAATTTTTAATTACATAGAGGCTTTTGATCTTTCACTACTAGCATAATAAGTTTATTTTTAGCAAGGGATTTTTTTAATATTACCTTTCACATATCGTACAGTAGAATCTGGCCAATTTAGCACTAGAGTTCAGTTGAAGATAATTTGGTAAGGAAATGAATTAAATCTGAAGTGGGATAATAAATCAGAAACTGCTGTTTTCTTTACTGTTGTGTACTGTAAGAACTTGGGTGAATGGACACGTGTCACATGTTGCATTCATGGCACTACACTACTGTAAAATACCGTTGTTCAAGTTTAACTTAAGAAATACTATCTCACAGTCACTGTGCCATTTACTATAGGGAAATTACGTTGATTTGAGGGCAGCAAAACATTAAGTATCTCACAGTTTCCGGTAAGAAAAGTATAACCTATAAGTATCTTTTGAAAATTTCAGCCCAAAAATGAAAGACCAAATCTGTTAATAACTGAAGCTTTAGTAGAGGTAAAGGCTTTGTGCGGAAGCGCAGACCAGCTGAGCAAGCGGAGGCCGTTCAAAAGCAGCAGGGCTGTGATCTCCAACTAACGTAAAACAATTGAGTTGAGGAGATCCTGCTAGTGCTTCAGAAAGATGGGGTTTGAGTATAAACGCATTCCGTAGAGTTCCTGCACTTTCTGCTAACCGAGAGAGAAATTCTCGCCTTCTTAAGGCTGTGCTCCTTGAAAGCGGATGGCTCCACATCTGCAGACTCTGGGCTGGCACGAGCAGCGGGTACGGCGTACTGCAGAGATGAGAATACACCCTACTGTGAAGGAAAACTGAAGCGATCCAAGACCTCTCGGATTTCACAGCCTCTGGTCAGGCAGAACTACTCGTGCAGGCACAAAAATAGCCAGTAGACAACTATAGGCAGTGCTCCTTCGGCTCTGACACCGAGGGTGGAGCCAAGGGGCTTTCTTCCACACTGCCATCCTGCTGCGCCGCTTTTCCCCGCACTGGAAGATCTAAAGACTGGGGAAGGCTTCTTAAATTTGACTATGTTTGGTTCAAATTTTCAATTTTTTATTTTTTCCCCAGGTTGCAAGTAAAGTTAAGATACGCCTTCTTTCCTTCATAAATGTACGCTTAGACAACAAGCTCAAGGCATGTTGCCTAAGCCTTAGCTTGTGCCTAAATTTAGTAAGGGTTTTTTTTTTTTTTCAGGAGGATTATTTTTATACTTTTTCTGTGTTCCTGAATGCAAGTGTGGAACTAGACATTACATCTGAAAGCAATCTTATCTGATTCTTTTAGTTTAATCTGGCTAGTATTTATCAAGTCGAACTGAGAGGTTTCCTTGTGGTGGCTCTTATGTTTTTGGAGACTGAGTTGATCAGATCACAGTTGAATTTCTAAAATTCAGCTATTCTATAAAGAAGAGTTGGCAAGTTCAGATATTTCAGAGAGTTATCAAAGCAGGGTAGTTAGTGATTCGGAGTAGTGATTTAGGCCTAGAATTTAATTCATTTCTATGGGTTTTTTTTTACCTGTAAAATTCCTTTCTTGACAAGTGATTCGGGGTAGTGATTTAGGCCTAGAATTTAATTCATTTCTATGGGTTTTTTTGCCTGTAAAATTCCTTTCTTGACATCATTTTCTATGTAAAATGGTCTTTCAAATATTGTGGGTGGCAATTAGGGATTACTTGTAAGCAATTTGTCAGGAGCATTTGAATGTTCAGACATACTGATTGGCGTGACTGAACAGACAAAGTATAGGTCTGTGAATACGTCGCTCTGCGCTTACTCTGAATTTAACTCCCTGTTTCCACGTAGCTTAAAGTACTTGTCTGCAGTCTCTGATGGTGTTGATTCAGTTAGCGCTGAAAGAGTGAATGCAGGTTTTGTCGTTTCTGTGGTGAGAAATTAGGCTGATTTTTCATGATGGGCTGTGTGTATATGTGTTTATTCACTACGCTCGGTTGCTTGCGGTAGCTTTTGTGCTGCATCGTGCCAGTTTGATTTTGCCCACAGGCTTTAGCAGTGTTGGCATTTAATTCCTGCCATGGCAGATGCTTTTTAGAGGCAGTCTTTGCTATTATGCCACTAAGTTCACAGAATTGAGGATTTTGCCGTGAAGCGTGTCCTTGTAACGTGCCATTTGTCTGCTTGTCAGCCCTTCCATGGCCACAGTTGTGTACCTGAACCTGCAGGATTGCTGTTTCAGTCATTAGCAATTTACAAAATGACATTGTTCAGGCTCTTACCTTGCCTGTGTTGACTAGGGTGCAGTGACTGTGGAGCTGGCTTGGCGAGTTGGGCAGAATGGTAAGAAGAGGGATAACAATGTTATTTTATACTTTCGCTTTTCTTGCAAGTTGGATGCTGCCGCCATTCCGCTAACGATGCTTGAATTCCCTGAAAGGTGAACTGGCTTTTGCCACCCTCTGTGTGGGCAGTCTTGATGCATAAACTCTGGTTCTATGTCGCAGTGCTAAGGTTTGTTAATACGAGCTATTTGCCCAATCTAGTTTTCATGAAGCAAGGCTGAAACCGGGGTGGGATGTCAGCCATCACTTTCCCTTTGTAAAGGTAAATGTTATTCCTGTTCTCGAATCCCCATGGAATTATCTTATTCTGAATAATAATCTAGGGAGGGAAGAGAAAGACTCAAAAGTTTGTGTCTTTGGCAAGACTGCAGCTGGCGGCTGCCTTGCCTTGAGATGTCCCTTTCGTAGTCTCTGGCCAGCATGGAGACAGATGTTCATGTAGAACCACCGGTGGTTTGTGTCTTAACAAAGCTGAGGCATTGCATTGTGCACCTTGTGTCCTAAGAATTCAGTCCGATTTGAAATTTTCTTGTTATTGTAGCTTTATTTGGCATGAAATTTAGGTTCTAGTGATACTTTGCTGTTTCCAATACCTGAATCATCAGCTTAAATTATTTTAACAGGTGCAATTTGTCTGTTAGAGACTGCAGCTGGTAATACTTCAATCTTTATTTGATGATGATCAGCTTAACAATTTACTGCAAGTGGCTAGAGTTATTTTAACATCATTAATATCAATTTGCTGCGTAGCGATGTAGTCGATATAGGAGTGCTTAGATCAGGGGTACACTCAGGCCTTTTTTGTATTTTTCAGCTCACTGGAAAACCATTCCAGATGATCAGCCGGTTATCGGCACATATTATCAGCTATAGGATAACATTTGGTTTTTTCCTTACAGGAACCATAATGGTATTTCTCCAAGCTGCCAAAACTGCACTTCCCATGAGTAGGTAAGCCAAATTAAGAAGCTCCACGACCGAAAGGGGGAAATCCCTCACACCTCGTCTCTGCCTCTCCCTTCCTTCTGCTTCGCAGCTGTGTACTCCTGGCGCTCGCCTTGTTTTGGCCTCAGCCCTTGTTGGATGTCTCCATGAGCTTTAACTTCCTCAGACAGCAAGTTGCTCGGGCAAAGAGTTGGATGTTTTTCTCCTAGAATTAGTAAGGGAATGCAGCTCGGGGAAGGGTCTAGCAAGGAGGAGGGAGGGAGAAGCGTCTGCTCCAGGAGACGGGAGAGTTGCAGCCCTTTTGGTAGGGAAATGATGGGCTCAGGTGCTCGTGAATCTGTAGCCCAAGCGCCACGCAGCCCATCCTAAAATTCCCAAGTATGGCCACTTGGGCATTCTTTAGGACTGTTAATGATGGCATGGAAATGTCTCCCACCTCGTGCGCTCATTTTTAGGTGGTGTCTAGGCACACGTAGTGGTTGTGTGGATTTGATGGCCTTTTTATATCATTGAGCCAGTGAAATTCAATTTTTATGGCAAGTCAAATGCCACAAATGGCTTTCCCATTTTAGACAAAGCATTTTTAATACCGTTGCTTATTTTTCAACTTGCCTGTCCAACTAAAAATATATTTATTGTTAAACTCAGCTACCTGGAGATTCTTGGTAAGAGCAGTTATATCAACGTAGCAATCAAATTTACAATGGCTTTCAGACTTTTATATCTCATGTTACTATCTGTAATAGCTTCTGCTCAGTCAGCCACAGCAGAACGACTCAATGAAGTTCTAAAAATCTACCTGCTGCTACTCAGCCATTACCTCCTTGGTAGATGAGATTTGAAGGCAATGAAAAGCTTTGGTGGTACATACGATTCTTGCTTAAGGATTTGGTTAAAAAGGCCAAACAGAGGTGGCCCAACACCTCGGCAGTGAAGAGGGACTGTGTTCCCGAGATCTGGAACCACAGTGGAATATTGGCAAAGTACCTGGGCTGGTGGGAGGTGTCCCTGCCCCGGGCAGGGGGTTGGAACTAGATGATCTTTAAGGTCCCTTCTAACCCAAATCATTCTATGATGTAGTGGCAAACAGGAAAGGACAGGAATGTATATATATATATAAAAAAAAAGTGGTTTATTTAGAACAAATAGTTGTAGACATAGTGCAGAATTAATTAATAGGAGGGAAGCGAAAGGACACCATTAGCCTAGCAGAGGTGTATGAAAACCAAAAGTTTTTAGAACTCAGAAACAAGATACTAACTGTGGGGACTGAAACAGGGCGTTGCATTTTAATGTACGGATAGATTACAAACTTTGGGCTGTTAGAAAATGCCCTAAGCTACCTTCTTCTGACGTATGGGAATCGCCATCTGGGGGTGAGGTTGCTGGGTCCTGTTTATTGAACAGGTAAATGTGCAAAAATGTTATGAAGTAAGAAAGAACAGCTGCAAAGAGTTGATGATACACGTTAGCATACGAGAGCGTCGGAGATGAGCTGGGCCAGGCAGGAGGTTGCAGGGCCTGCTGCCTTCCCTGGGCCGGCCTGGCAGGGCCTCACCGGTCACCACACACCCCCCCGGGCCTTCCCGCCAGGCGCTGCC